CTCTCGCCTTGCCCCCCCTGGATCTTGACCCAGAGCACTTCAGCTCGCCCTTCCCCTGACCCCATACTGCTGGCAGAGGATGTGTAGTGCTCCTTGACATAAAGTCCCACCCCCCCCCCTGATACCCACAGGCATGCCAGAATAAGGAACATGGCTTTAAGTGAAGAGGTAATGTACAGGAAGAAAAAGTAACTATAGTATACTACATACAAGTAACTTTTTATATGTGGTTACATGTAGTTACCTGAAAGTCTGACCAAACTTATAGAAGTGATGCCACCAAATTTAATATTCACTTGTGCAAATACCTACAATGCAAATATCCAAATGACAAAACCAGCATGCACATGCTGATTAGGTTCTCAGAGCATATACTTGAGTTTATACCATTCTAGGCCCTTGGTGCTACTCAGGGAGAGCTTTAATGGTAAGCGCTGGTTGACCTCACCAATGCAGGCCCCATGCCTGTCCCCGCCCCCTCACCGGAAGGAGAGAGGAAAAAACCACCTGCGCCCCCGTCTCCTTCAGCCTGGTCCCCAGAGCCTCGAAGTCCCTCATAATACGGTCAGGGTTGCCTCTTGCCGCGTCGTTCGTACCCACATGGACGACAACCATGGGGTACCGGTCTGCAGGCCGGATGCAGGCCGGGATCCTCTCCGTGATGTCCCTGACCCGAGCCCCAGGCATGACGCAGACCTGCCGTGACATGGGGTCGGGCCTGCAGATCGGACCTTCCAGCCCTCGCAGGAGGGAGTCCCCGATGACTAGGACCTGGCGTTTCTTCCTCCTGGTGTTCTCTCTCCTCCCAGTCTCTGTCTTGCGTCCACCCCAGGCCAGAGCAGGTCTACAGGTGGGGCCTGACTCTGCCATTGGGTGCTGGTGGAGTCACCCCAGCTAAAGCTTCACCCCAGGCTTGACTCCAAAGCCGGGGACCTGCAAGCAGTTTGGGGAGATGCAAGGTAGGGGAGGTGATGGCTGGGCTGGGGCTGTGCAGCCCGTGGGGAGGTGGGTTGGGTTCAGGACTATGTTGGGGGTATGGGGGGGTCAGGGCTGGGCTCAGGCTCTGGGGGCAGCTGACCTGACAGCCTGAGACAGGGCTGTGGGATTCCCCAGCTGGAGGAAGCCCAGGCCTGTAAGGTGTACAAGGCTCAGTGCCACCTTGGCTATGCCCTGGAGACACAGCCTCTGCTCTCAGGCACCTGGGCAGACTAGACCACAGCCATGTGCCCACGCAGGCCCCTCACCGTGTACAGGAGGGGGTACCTGGGGGGGTCTCAGCAGTGGGGGTGAACAATGGGGCAGTGTCCAATGTGGAGGGATGGGGTGGGTGGGATTCGTGGGTACCAGGGAACCATCTTCCTGACTGCTTCCCAGGCTGATCATTAAGGGACTGGCAGTGATAGCTCCTCAGGGTAATTGGCAGTAATTGCAAGGAGTCCCTGGTTGAGGGGCCGCAGCTTTGCCATGTCAAAGGGAGAAAGGGGCTGGAGTTTGTTTGCGGAGGCTGGAGCAGCTCCTCCCTGGCAGAGGGACCTTTCTGCCAGAGCAGGGGCGTGGGACAGACCCTCACCCCCAGAGCATCCCTGGCCTAGGTGGCAGACAGGTGAGCCAGGAGTTGGCCTGGGCACAAAGCCCTTGAAGGGCCTGTGCAGCAGGGTGAGCTGAGCTGAGCTCCTCGGGGTCCCCCAGGGATGGATAGAAGTGAGAACCAAACAAGAGACTGATGTCTGCTGGCTGGTAGGAGCAGTAGGTTGTTACCCTGCATGCAGCCCCAGGGGTTCAGCCCCCAGCCTGGAAGAGACTCCTGTGCTCGCTGCTGGCTGATTCTGGGCCAGGATCTGGCCCCACTGCACAGGCAGACAGGATCCCCCAGCCCAGTACAGGGTCAATGATTGCAGCTGAGAGATGCTCGGAGCTGTGGTGGTCCCACAGCCGGTTCATATGGGAGTGGGGGCGGATGGTTACTGGTGTCATTCATTACAGGGGTGCAGAACCTGCTGCAAATGCCACTAGCTGGTGATGCAGTGGCCAGATCCCACCATAGCCCCTTCTCTTTGCCATCCGGGACCAGCTAGGCCAGTATGGTACAGCTGCTGCCATGCCAGGAGCGTGAGGACTGACCCTGGGGAAAGCAGACTTGCTGTGTGTGCAGGGAAGGCCTTTGTGCCTGGACCCGAGCGTCCGGATTAGCTGCAACCCTGGAGCCTGCCCGCACATCACCCCTTCTTGCTACTCTGATGCATGTGATAATGATGACAGGGGGCATCTAAATGCCCTAGGCTGCTGGGAAAACCCTGTCCCCAGAGGGCAGGCAGAGATGTCCACCCCCCGCCCCACTTGCCTCCTCGCTGGGGTTACCTGGCAGTTCAGGCACTGGGCTAGTTCTCAGGTGAGCTGAGTCCTGGCCCCTGCTGTGCCCGGTGCCTGTGGCCTTGCCCAAGGGGATCAGGCTCTTGTGGCCTGAGGTTCCTGCCTGTGCCATGGGGTCTGTGAGGCTCTTGGGGGCAGTGACCAGTCTGGGTCAGCACTGCTGGGGACGGGGAAATACCCACTGAAGGGATCAACCACCTGCTACAGCCACACTTCCATCTGCCTAGATTTTGACTCCTTCAAGCGGCTCACCGCAGGGTGTCCTGCTCCAGCGCAGCCCAGGATGGAGACCCTGGCGCAGGCCTGCCTGGACTGCATCGGGGTGTGGCCCCTCCACCGCCCCTGGCTGCAGTTTGGGCTGCAAACAGCTGCACGGGTCCAGGGACCCCTGGCCTGACTTGTTGCTGCCTGTGGGTGCACGTGCACCTCAGGGTCGGTAGCAGGGGAGCCCTGAGGGGCTGGATCCTTGTTGTGGAAGCACAGCCCTTCCTGCCTCTGCCCCGAGGTGCAAATGCCAAGCAAAACCGCCCCACTTGCCTCCTCGCTGGGGTTACCTGGCAGTTCAGGCACTGGGCTAGTTCTCAGGTGAGCTGAGTCCTGGCCCCTGCTGTGCCCGGTGCCTGTGGCCTTGCCCAAGGGGATCAGGCTCTTGTGGCCTGAGGTTCCTGCCTGTGCCATGGGGTCTGTGAGGCTCTTGGGGGCAGTGACCAGTCTGGGTCAGCACTGCTGGGGACGGGGAAATACCCACTGAAGGGATCAACCACCTGCTACAGCCACACTTCCATCTGCCTAGATTTTGACTCCTTCAAGCGGCTCACCGCAGGGTGTCCTGCTCCAGCGCAGCCCAGGATGGAGACCCTGGCGCAGGCCTGCCTGGACTGCATCGGGGTGTGGCCCCTCCACCGCCCCTGGCTGCAGTTTGGGCTGCAAACAGCTGCACGGGTCCAGGGACCCCTGGCCTGACTTGTTGCTGCCTGTGGGTGCACGTGCACCTCAGGGTCGGTAGCAGGGGAGCCCTGAGGGGCTGGATCCTTGTTGTGGAAGCACAGCCCTTCCTGCCTCTGCCCCGAGGTGCAAATGCCAAGCAAAACACCTTGGTGGGCTAGGCTCTGGTATCATTGTTGGGGGTTGCCCACCCCTGGTTTTGAGTCGCTTGTTGGGCACTTGCCCACGATCCCCTGGCACAGCCAAAGGCCTGGCTCTAGCCAGGAAGGAAGCTCTGGGTGGGGGCACGTCTTTGAGCCCCTCATCCCTTCCCGTCTTCAGGCAGAGCCATGCTGGGCAGCGTGCCCCAGCTGCTGGGAGGCCAGGTGGACCCTCTGCCCCCGCGCTCCCAGGCCTGCTTCCCTGCAGCTGTGCACTGTGCCCTGCTACGGGGCTCCAGTGCCCCGGGCCTGCAGGAGCCTGGCAGCCCCCGCGGGCCATGCAGATGAAGGGGCTGAAGAGCCCCAGGCCCCGCCCTGTCCTAGCCCAGGGGCGGGGCTTGCGGGCGAGGCGCTCCCCGGGGACAGTGGGGAAATTCCCAGCCAGGCCCTGCAGCTCTGTGTGGCTGGGAATTTGCAGACGGGGCCTTGCTGCGCCCTGCCAGGGGCAGGCCAGGTCATGTTACACGTGCGGGGACTGCTGGGCCGGGCGGGGCTGCGGGGCACTTGCACCAGCACCATGCAGCAAGGTGAGGCTGCCTGGGGGCTGCTCGGCACAAGCCAGCTGGCGGGGGAAAGCCCTGGAGCAGCCCAGCGGTCCCGGGGAAGGAGCTGTGGCCCCTGCTCCACTCCCCCTGTGGGGACTTCCCGGGCTCACCCGCTGCCCACCCTCCTGCTCGGGGGAGCGGTGTCTCCTCTTTGGGGGACAGGGCTGTGCCGAGGCTGCTGTTGGGAACCAAGTCCTTGCTAGAGGGCCTTACCCCTTTGCTTGGGCTCAGATGCTCGATTTGGGGTTAGGAAGGGATTTTCCCCCTGGTCAGATTGCTGTGGACCAGGAGAGGGGGTTGCCTTTCCCTTTGGCAGGGGCATGACCCCCACCAGGGACCTCTCGAACATCTCTTGGCAATGTTTCGGAGAAGCGGGATGTGAATGCAGAGGCCCCCGGCTTTTGTGGCTTGGGCGTTCGGTCTGTGTCACATGGAGAGTTGGAAGTTTTATGTCGAGGTCCGATTGTGGTTTGTCTGGGATGCTTTGCACGGGGCTGATCCCGCCTCAAGCAGGGTTGGAGTAGATGTGACCTCTGGAGCTCCCTTCCAGGGTTTTCTGCCTGTCATTCCCTAGTCAGACGGGGATTCCCTGTTCCCAGGGTATCAGTGATCAGGGGTGATTGTAGGAACCCAAAACTGGCTTTCACCTTCTCTGTCGTAAGCAAGGCCCTGTCCACTGTAGCCAGGTCACATTTGCTACGTCCCTCCAGAGTGCTTATTGGGTCGTAGTCTGGGGGAGGCTGGGAGTCACTCTTCCCAGGCAATGGGAAAGGCTGCTGGGGCAGATCTCTTGCTGGCTGCAATCGGGACTCTCCCCCGGGGAGACTGTCCTTGCAAAGCTGGAAGCAGCTGCCTGACCCTTGCCCATCAGGGGAGGGGCACTGATGTCTCACAGAGACGGGAGGTGGTGACTGTTGGCTTGTTTCTGTGGTTGATGTAGGTAACAACATCTCCTACGAAGACATGAAGGCGCTGGGCGCTGGCGGGGGGGGGCCCGTCTTTGACGTGCGCTCTCCGGAGGAGGTGGCCAACGGGCACATCGCCAACTCCATTAATATCCCAGGTGAGCATGTCGGAGGAGCTCTCCCTGGCACAGGATGGTGCTGGAGCCCGATGGACGGGATGGGGCTTTGTCCCGGTTGTCTGTACATGGAGGGGGTGGGGTCCTCACTAAAGATCCTCTATTTGTGTGCTGAGGCCTGTTCTCCCTGCTGCCCTGGCCACACTCCACTTGGGGCAGCTGCTCTGTCTCTGTGGAGGGGTCTGACTCCCAAACCCTAGCTGAACGTGCCTGTTTCTGTGCCCTACTTGGCTGCTGTATTTCCACAGTGGGTGAAGTGCCTGCTTGTCCTGGGAAGCACTTGGGGATTGGGGATCCCGTCCACGGACTGTAGAGCGTTATCCCCTGCACAGTCGCAGGGAGGCTCTGCCCTCGGTCCCTTCAGTGTCGAGATGAGGTCCTCTGCCGTCTGTGCTAACTGAGCAGCTCCGTCAGAGGGAAGCAGCAGCAGGCTGTTACCTGGTAGGGACTGAGCCAGTTAGCTGAAGAGGGTCTCTTCCTAGGGCTACCCCAGTGCTGTCCTCCTTCCCCTTCTTTCTTTTCCAGTGACAGAAATCGAAGAAGCCCTGAAGATGGATCCTGAGACATTTAAGATGAAGTATGCTGTGGACAAGCCCCAGGTGGATGAGAAGAACTTCATCTTCCTCTGCAAGGCGGGCCGGAGGTCGGCTTTCGCCGTAGAGATCGCCAAGACCCTCGGCTATACCAAGTGAGCCCACCTTCCCCAGAGGAGCCCTTGGCCATAGGGTGTCTGACCTTTTGGGCCTCTTGTTTGCATGCCACGAGCACTATGAGCCTGGAGGCATGAACAGGGTGCAGTGCAGCCCTGGGGGAGAGCCTGTGGGTGTGTTCTCATCTGGCAGGTCACAGAAGAGCCTTGGGGTTGATGGGGAAGGAAAGGGTCCTCCTCCCAGGAGGTCCTGGTTCTGCTTTCACTGGCGTGGAGCTGGTGGAACTTGCAGCAGGGCCGTGGTCTGGTCTTAAGGAGAAGGGACAGATTCCCCAGGGCATGGTCTCAGGCCTCCACAGCCCAGCCTGCCCTGCAATGGATCTGCTTCCCCTCCCCCTGTACTGCCCCAGGCTAGCCTGTTACAGCTGTCCGGCCTGGCTGAGGGGGAGTTGGGCTGGAAGAGCTCATTTGGGACTGGCTGTCTCGCAGAAGCAGCTGTAGCCTGTAAGGCAGAGGCCTGATACCAGGGGGACTGAAGGTCCTGGGGGGGCTGCAGGGTGGGGCTGAGCTTGTTCCAGGGTCAGTCCCACTGGAGGGAACTGGGTAACCACAGGGATCCATAAAGTGTGTCCTGTCTCATCCTGTCGTGCACCTCGGGTCTGTTGTACAGCTCCCTCCACTGGTCTGGGCTCTGCTGCTCCCACGAGGAGCTCCAGGCTGGGACATAATGGTGCCCATTATGAACCTGTGTGTCTCCTCCTTTTGCTACAGTGCCCGTAGCTATGGTGGCGGCTATGACGAGTGGTCTGAGAAGGAAGGGAAGTGAGTGTGGCGGGGCTCGCCACGGCCAGTGACTTTGCTTTTTCACCTAAGTGCCAACACTGCACTACAGACTCTCCCTCCACTTCACTGCCACGTCGTCCTCCCCGGCTGCTTTTGCCCAGTGTTGCGGTGCACCTGTCTGGACATCCTGCCTAAAACACCGGCCTTTGAAGCTGCTGCTCGGCTCTGAGCCTGGCCCTTCAGCCTGGAACCTGCTCTTGTTCATTCTCTACCTGCAGCACGGCTGCCCTCTTAACCCCTGGTATTTGTACCTTGGTGGGGGTCCTTCCTCTTCTCCCAGGTCTGTCCTGTTGGTGGGGAAAGAGGCTTCTTTATATGGCAATGAAATTGGATGCTTTGCAACACCCAGCTGTGTTTTGTAGCCCCCTGTGAGGCGTGACCCGCTGGGAGAGAGGTGCTGGTGTGGAGTATGGAGTCCATCCAGGGGAACGATCTGAAAAAAAGTCATGATTGTAGATCCTAGAAAACATGTGCGTCTCATCCACAGAGAGCCAGCAAGCTAGGGCACCTCCTCAGTGATCCCAGCAGGTTGTCAACCCTGTGCTTGCTGGGTGTGGGGTAAGGACGCTTGGGGTGTGTTCCTGGTCTGCTGGGGGGGAAGTCACTTCTTTGTTTCAATTTCCACACGTGTATAACGCTGACCTTTCTTTTCCTGGATGTCTCTGGGAGAAGATCCAGGCATTGCTATTCTCTGGCTGCTGTGTGGGTTTGAAGGCTGGATTGGGTGTGCACTTGATGCAGTGGTAATAGATGGGAGGGGCAGGACTGAAATTAAGAGATCTAGCACTGAAATGAGGCAATGCTGCAGCTGCACAAGGGTTGCAGATCAGTGGAGAGAAAACCGGCTCCCCAGAAGGGCCACCCTCTGCCTTTTGTAGCAGAGAAGAGCATACCCAGGCATTGCCAGGCATCTCGTGGGTGGCAGGCAGGTGCCATGAGGCTTGGTAAGCAACTACTGTGGAGCTGCAGGCAGACACAACGTGCAGATGCAAGAGCTGGGCTCCAGCAGCAGCATAACAGGATTCCAGCCTCTCCGAGGAGTCCCATGGATACCATATATAGCACCTAGGGGCTGGCTTAGTCCAGGGACTGTGGTAGCTGGACTGTGGGGCAGTGCTAACGAGAGAAGCAGGACTGGTTTGTTGCCATTGCAGGCAGGGCTCTCCAGATGCTGAAGCCCTCAAGGAGAGAGAGTCTGGTCTCTGTTGATCTTGTGTGCTGCTGTCTTTCCACCCAAGCTGCTCGCAGGGTGAGGGAGGAAGGGTGCAGTGCAGGACTGTAGGCATGCTGTCCCTTCCAGTCACTCCTGCCCCCTCAGAAGCCCAGCCTACTGGTACCGTGTGGATAGTGGCACCCGATTCTTAAGCCCGTGGACAGACAGTGCTTGGGAGTGAATCCCACATCTCTCTGTATGTGAAGGCTGAATGCTAACCTTGAAATAATGGCAACTGGGTGGGGGCATAGACCCAAGGATTCTCTCAGATCACTTTAGATCCTCGCATGCAGCTCTAAGAAACTGACCATAAGATGGTGAGGATCCATCCAGCATGCCATGTGGGAAAGAGGAGCCAAGGGCCCATCATTGTAATCACAGGGAAATAGCTGGTTAATACAAGATTCACAGGTCCTAATTAGGACTGTACACTGCATTAGAGAGGCAGGCAAAGTCTCTGGAGTCCATGTCAGTGTGATCTAGGGAAGAATCTTTCCTGATACTCAAACAGGGATCAGGCTAACCATGAACATGAGAACGAGATCCTCTGGCCAAGACTTCTAAGTGGGAGGATCTGTGTACTCCAGTCAAACCCTGCCAGCCTTAGCTGTGGCCAGTGTCCCAGTGCTGCAGAGGAAGACAACTGCCTCCCTCCTCCCCCCAGCTGGTGACCAGCAAAATCCCTGGAGCACAGGATTGCCTGACACCGTCCATGCAGTAAAGAGTTACCCCTAGTCTAGACAGGGATTGCAAATGCTCGATTCCACCTCTCCCACACGCTGATTGTTGACCTGAGAAGACCCTGTGCTGTCATGTTATCCCTTCCATAGACTTGCCCAGGTCAGTCTTTAAGCCAGTCGAGTTCGCTGCTCTCACTACTTTCCCTGGAAGAGCATTCCAGAACCTGCTCCTTTAGTGGCTAAAAAATACTTGATTTACAGTCTCCACTTCTCTGTAGCTCGTTTGTAGCCTTTTCACCTGGTGCTGGTTGTGGTGGGCCAGTAGGGGGTGCTCCTCCGCTGAGCCACCCACCTACTGTGCCCGACCTCCCAGGCTCCGAGTTCCTCCCTGGGGGCGCCCCCTGTCTGGCCGACCCCCTTCGTGGAGCACACCCGCTAGCCTGGGGGTAGAGCTGCCACCACCCAGGGATGGGCTTGATTCTGGCACTGCGGCCCCTGGGAAACACAGGCCTAGTAACCCTCAAGGATACTTGACTCACTTCAAGAACTTGGGGTGCTTCCCTCAGTCGGAAGTACAAGTAGTGATTTCCCTTAGCTGAACCAAGGGGAGCCCAAGGCATAATCTGTACCCACTCCCAATAAGTCTTCCACGCTAGTTACAAAGGAGAACTTTATTGGTTATAAAGAGTAGAGTTGGAATAGGGTACAGAGTTGAGTAGTATCAGAGAAATCCCATAGAGCAAACAGGGTGGCTGGAGTAGCCTTACATCATGTGTCTGAGTTACTGCAAGCTATATATCTAGTTAGATCTCAGGTAGCTTACTCACGAGTATCATCCAGAGACGGGGAGATTCCCTCTGGAGGCAGGCAGTTCATTGATCATGAGTTTTGAGAGAGAGAGAGCAAGTTTCACATGGTCCAGCTTCTCTCTGAGTTTTCCTCATGGCTGCTACCCCTTCCTCCTGGGCAGTCCTTAACTTACATAGATAGCCCTTACGGCCTCATTTACCTGGTCCAATAAATGCCAGCACCTGTTGACTGCCAGCCAACCAATTTGAAATGTATCACTGGTTGCTGGGCAGACTGGCAGTCTCTAAACCACCAGGGGGCCCCAGCCCCCCACCCAGGTGTGTGAGGCCAGTCACGTAGGCAGAGGGAGCAGGATTCCCCCCTCCCTCAGGAATGTATCCGGCTCAGGTTACCTAAAGAGAGAGGGTAAGGTGTGTACTCTCTGCAGGGCCCAAATTGTCACAGAGCACAGTTTTTGGGGAGAAACAGAGGTGGCCTTCTGCCACACTGGTGTTTGTTTTAAAGACTAAAAAGCTCTTCCACTAGTGTAAAAGCTGTTCCTATCCTCTTCATCTCCAGTTGAAGTAAACCACCACACTCCTTTGATCTTTCATAAGAAAGTTTCCATTCCCTTGCCGTCTTCAGGGCCCTTCTTTACGCCCATTCTAATGTAGGTCAATTGATGTTAATTGAACATTGGTGAACAGAACTACACAGAGTCCGGGGGACTTCCCAGTGCCTTGTGCAATGGTCCTAGGACCTCCTTGTCTCTACCTGGGGCACCCTAGGATGATAGCTTGCAGCCCCTTGCCCAGTATATGGCAGCTCGGAGAGCATGCACAATTTCTGCTGACACCCCAGGGTAAATAAAAGCTAGCCCATAGCGGCTCGGCTCTCAGTGAAAGAGGTCACCTTTCATTTACTTCTGGGTAAGAGCAGGCAGTTCCCACAGAGCAGCGGATGCAGGACAAATCCTACCTCCCTTATCTCCCAGTAACCAGTTTACTGTATTTGTACAGCATCTAGTACAATAGGAGCCTCCTCCTGGCTGGAAGCTGTTCACGTCTAATACAGCCATTCTCAATCTGGCAGCCATGACCCCAAGTGGGGAAATACAATCAGCAGTCAGGCCCATGCAGGAGCTGGGCATTGGGTGCTGGAAAGGCTGGGAACTGGTGTTCGAATGATAACACCTGGCCGTGCCCCAGACGTTCGGTGAAAATGACTAAATCCTCTTTTGTGCCCCCCGAAAAACGGGGGCAATGATGATAACGTCCTATCCCAGGGGAGTATGGCAAGGACCTGAAATCCAAGTATGCATACGCATTCAAAGGGCAAAGAAGGGTTAGTATTTTATATTGTTGTCAGTCCAGCACTGGCCACCAGACGTCAGTGTGTTCCCAATGATGGGCTCACAGTACACGCAGCAGCAATAGAGATGTCCACGGAGCTGGGAGTCATCTGATTTGGAATGACAAAGTCGAAAGCATTGTCTTGGCGTGGATAAAATGGGTGGTGTTAGCATACGTTACAGGCCGGCGTGGGCATGGCAGCTTCGATTTAACCGTTGAACTAAGCAGCAAGGCTCCACCCTAGATATTAAGCCAGTTCAGCGTGACTTAGCTATGCTGATGTTATCAAGGTCAAGAGTTTCGTAATCATGAGCAAGGCCAAAAAACATCATGAGAATGACTTAGAAATAGCAAGAGAGGCAAGGGGGTTTTTGGACAAGGCTTTCGGGTATAAAGTGGCATTGTTCAGGTCTAAGCAATGGGTACATTGTACCCAAAAGTTTGTCTAACATTTCTTAAATGTACAGTGTATCCAATAAAAGATATCTCAAAAAAACCCTTGCTTCTTGAACATTTCCTGGACTGTCATGGCTGCAATAATGCTCCAGACCTATTTAAAAAGAGCAAGATTTGGTTCTTTCTGTTTTCTGAGTCTTCATGGTCTCACACACACACATTTCAAGCTTGTACTTGCAACTTTAATGGCTAGAAACAACAAGTGATAATCCCCCCGAGTTGCGTGACTCCAAGAAGTAGAACTTGGAGAGAAAACCTGATGGTGTTTGTAGGATTTTCACTGGTGGAAAATCTTTTTTATGGCGCAGTTTTCTGTCACTGCATCTCCATTGCAAAGCCTTTTGCAGAAACATGCTACCTTTGACCATGTTTTTTAACAGAAAAAAGTGTCATTTCAGCCTTTTCCCCATTTCCCTTATGTTGGAGTTTTGTCTCTGTGGGGTGGGAACACCTGGGTTTCATTTCAGCTGCAGTAACCTCTGCAGCCCCTAAATAGCAACACTGGGAGATGCACGTTTGTAATGATCTACACTCCATCCAGGTAAAGACCTATAGTGTTTATGTGCATTTTGCTTTGGCAGCACCTGAAGGAGATGATTGCGCATGACAAAAACTTCCCGCTGTTTCCAAATCACAGGGTGTTGTTTCGTTTTTGTTTTTGCAGTTCGGAGCCCGTGAGGAAGTGGGAATTGTGGAGTTCTGGATGGAAATCCTACCCCCCGCCCCGCCGGCCCCTAGTGGTGCGGCCAAGCGGGCCATGCTCGTTTAAGCAGGGCGACGCATCCTCAGAGGCGAGAAGGATGGCGCCCCCGTGATCCCTGCCCCACCCAAACTTTAAAACCAGCTGCCGGGGAGGGCGGCGGCCTTTCTGCTGGGGCAGTGCTGCGGGAGTCACGCGACTTCATGGCATGTTGTCACCGCCCTGATTCCTGCTCATCTCTCCGCTCCACGGGTCCTAAGGACCCTCCTTGGTTTGTAATGGTCTCGATGCCCCAGGACGCAAACTGTCCTGTGTTCGGCAGTGCTGCTATATAACGTCCACAGGACAGCTGACGGAGTATCCTTAGATAGTTTTGACTATTTCTTTCACCGATTGTGACTCCTCTGACTCTTTTTCTTGCTCTCTTAACTATGCTTTGACTCTTGGACTATTTTTTGTTGACTCTTTTGACTGTCTGTTGGCTTTCTGTGACACGCTGTAGATGGAGCCCGTGTCCCGAACCGATTGTATTGGGTTTTGCTCTGATCTTAAAGTGCGGGCCAGGGCGAGCCCCCGCGTCTATTGGTCAAGTTTTTCGTTTGCCCCCATAAAGTCCTGAATCTGCTGCCATGAGGGGGCTCTAATCCTGTATGACTGCACTGGGGGTGGCCTGGACGCTTTAGGGCCTAAGAGGCCCTGGCACAAGCAAGGCCCTGTCACCATAGCAACCCAGGTGCCTTCTGGGCGGGGTCTCGTGCTCAGGACGTCAGGGAGGTAGGTGCTCCTGGGTCGGCTTCTGATTGGCTGCCCTCTGGCCTGGCCTCCCCTCTTCCCCCCTCACCTGCGGGCGCTGCCTATCACGTTTCAGCCAATCAAAGCAGAGCCTCAGGTGAGCGAGCCACTCCGGGGGGCGGGGAGAGGGCGAGGTTGGTTCACCTGGCAGGGGGGAGCCG